GAGCCACCCAGGCGCCCCACACGCAATCAGTTATTAAGGGAAGATGGCTCATGGCAATGTAGTTAATGCCTGTCTTTGTAAGTGTCCTGGTCTGAGGGTCAGCAGCTCTATCTGCCGTGGCCACACAGGAGGAGTGGGGGCGTGAGCCCACTGGGGACCATGGCAGGTGCCACGGGCATGTCCTACCTGCAGAGGAACGTGGGCCTGGCCCACATGTGAGCAGACCAAGCCTGTCCAGACTCACCCTCTCTCTTCCTCCATCACTGGCTCCCTGATGGTAACAGCATTTTGAAAAGTTGACATTTTTACTACAAAGCAAGTTGATAAGGGTAGCGTGCCTTTTCTTTATGGTGACATTGGTTGGGAGACATGTCTCTGAGGAGATTGGGTGGGAAGGCGGAGAAGAATGGGCTGGAAAGCCATGTCACAAAGTGGAGAAACTCTGACAAGGGGTCCGCGGCATTGCAGCTTTGGAAAATCCACTTCTAGTTTGAATTTTAACCTGAAACAAACAGAAGACTGTTTGTTGCCATTTTGTTTTTAAGGAGGTTTTTTTTTTCTTTGAGAAGGATGTGATTCCAGAACAAAATGAATTATTTGAGGGACTCTGGAAAGGCCAGGCTTGCTAACCCGGATCGAGCTAAGACAGGCGCTTGTAAGGTGCTGGTTCCCCAGGGTCAGGACGACCCCCGCGGCTGCGAGCCCCGCCAAGCCCACTCCTCCCGCCCCTGGGTGGGCCACACATTCTCCATCCCCACTCAGACCCGGGCCACGCATGGTGCGTCCCACAGGATGCCCGCCATGTGGAGCTGGGGACAGAAGGACTGAGGACCGAGTCCTGCTTCCAGAGCTTCAGGGCCCGAGGGCCCACCGGCCCTGATGGCAGGAACTGCGGCTCCAGTCCCAAGCCGGGAGAGACCTGGCGAGTGCACCTGTCTCCCTCACCCCGACGTGGGAGTCCAGCCCTGGGGTGGCCGAGAGGGGGCTCCCTCCTTCCGTCCTCCCCTCTCACACACCCCCCAAAAGTTGGGGTATGCGCCCCACACAAAAGAGGGCAGTCCCGGCTCCTGAGGCCAGCCCGAAGGCCTGAAATGCAGTTTGGGTACAGAATGAGTTTGCTGGTGGCTATGAAAGTCACATTGGCGCCCTCCACCTGCCCAGCTGGCCCAGCACAGTGGCCCCTCCACCACCTGGCCCTGCTCTCTGATGGAACAAGGCAAATGGGACCCCACATTTGGACTTTGTGGCCTCCATCCACCACACTGCACATTTATTTGATGACAGCAATGTTCAGGCCTTGCACTCGAACTCTGTTTACCATCATCTCTGGCCTCGGGCAAGTGGCATAACCCACTGAGCCTTACCTGTAACCCCAACACGACAAGACTGGCGGTATTGGGGGGGCGCCTGCAACCATCTAGGGGCAGTGCCCCCCAGACAGCAGGTGGACAGTGCCTTAGCTCCTCTGCCCTCCACGTCCCTGAGCCTCGAGGGACTTGAGACCACGCTTGTCCCCAGGATGCCGTCCCACACTGGGTGCGGTTTGGGACAAACTGGGTCTGCACTGGCTGCTTCACAGGAGGGAGAAGGCAGATGGAAGTGCAGGGGTTCAGCTCCCTGTGTGGAGACACGGGCTTGTGAAACCCCAAGGAAGAGGCAGATCTCAGGCCGGTTTGTCCTCATGTGGATAGAACTGTTGGCAGGAGATGAGGACTGTGGGTTTTGTCTAGATTCTCCTGTGTAACCAGAATGAAAAGCACAATCACAAACTGTAATATCTGAATTCTAAGTACAATCTAGAGTGAACTGTGTGCATGCTGCACGTCTCTAGGGAGCCAGGACTGTGGGAGGTGGGTCGCCAGAAGCTTTCTCCTCTTCTACCCACGTGGGGACACGGAGCTTCCTGCCACCCCGGGGGCTTCCTGCTCGGTCTGACCCCGTCCTTCTCTTTCCTCCCCAGACTACTGGTGCCTGGACGACCTGTACCGGGAGATGGTGAGACGCTACGTGGAAGTCCTTGAGAAGCTTCCGGAACATTGGGCAGATCCAGCTACCCTGGAAGGCTGCTCGCAGCTGAAGCCGGATAACTACCTCCTCGCCTGGCACACACCTTTCAACGAGAAGGGTCAGGGAATGCTTTCTTGCCCCCGTAAAGTGCGTGCTGGACAGCCGCCTGGACACTAACCTGTGTGTCGTCCACTAACCAGCAGCACTGCAGGTTTGCGCAGCAGAGAGGGACGGGCTGGGGCCCCTTTGGGCCGCAGCGGGCCGCCCAGCTGTCTGCTCGACACCAACCCTGGGTTCATCTTAAGGAATACTTTGGACTGCTTTCCCTTTAAGTTTGTATTTTGCCAAAGAGTCAGGAAAACATATACTAGCAACATAAAGGTTTGTCTCTAGGATGTGTTTAGAGGTGACATACACAGTCAAAGTCTCTGCCTCCATAGCACCTGCTCCTGGGTCCTAGACCTACCCCTCTAGGTTTATAGAAGATGAACTTGCCCCTTGGGGTTTCTACTGAGGATGGACACCCTTGGGGTTTATACTGAGGATGGACCCC